GACAGTAGGTCCCCCCCCCCTTATTGTTTTATTAGGGCCCCCACCCACCCACCGAGCAGGGGTGGGGGCCAGTAGGTTCCCCCCCATCTTTATTTAGGGCCCCCACGGGCATGGGGGGGGGGGTTATTTTTTAATTTTTTTTATTTTTTACAGTGAGCAGCTATAAGCTGCTCACTGCTTACTACACATGCCCCTACTCGCGATATAGCGAGTAGGGGCATATTATTTACTAATACTAAGTAATCTTTACTTAGTATTAGTAAAGTTGGCTGTTAGACCAATTTAGGTCTTTCAGTCTTTTAGTAGATAGCTCCCTGATACCGTGGGAATTAGGGAGTTATCTACTAAGCGGCTGCAAAATGCAGCCACAGCAATGAATAGGATCAGAGTTTCATTCATTAGAATGAAATTCCGATCCGAATAAAATGCCGAATTGCGTTCTAAAAGAAACGAACATACTGTTGTCATTCAGTTAGAACGCAATTCGGCAGTTTCATGTAAAATGACAGGAAGCATTGTGGGAACACTGAGGAAAGCTAGGGATCATGGGAAAATTGCTCTGACCAGCGGAAATGAAGCACACTTTGCTCCTCCGCTGGTCAGAGCTGGTCAAGCGGAGGAATCCTCCATAAGGCAAAGAGTCCCTACTTTGTCTTATGATTTTAAAGAAAACTAAAGAAGACAGGAAGAAATGAAGAACAGATCCTGAGAGAGGGGGAGAAGAGGAAGAGATTGAGGAAAGGTAAGTTCGGCATGACAGTGCCGCTTTAATATGACACATGTTCTGTGTAATGAGTTTGAGACTCAGGGTCATGCTTTCTGACCACATTTATGTTATAATCATTCTGAGCTAACAATTGATATCAGTTAATTTATTTTTGTACAACCAGTCTGGAAAGATTACTTCAGTTGGCAAGTATGCAACACAATCTGCAACAACAGTTTAAAAAACAAGGATACACATTCCCATTACACATTTATTTATTTCCTCCCCTCAAGGCCAAGCTATGGCATCTTAGAGAAAACCACACAATGTCTAAAATGGAATGAATTAATAATGATGTTAAATTGAATTACTTTCTGTAACATAAGATAGGGTTGAGCTTACATTTTTCTGAATAACTAAGTACTTCATATATATCACCACCTGTGACATTTGGCTACACGAATATATTAGTGTAGCCATAAAATTCCACATAATAATTTAATGACAGTCAGTCATCTTTCCATCATGCTAGAAATAGAATTAATAACACATAAAAAGATAATATAAATTCTTTAGCATTATTATAGAGATCAGAATAATAAAGAAAGTTGAAGCTTTCCTCACCTGTATAAAATAAGCTATAAAATTAAAGTTTTCCTCCTTTTGTCAAATGAGATTTGCACATGAATGCAATTCGTATATAATTTTATTAAGTGGAATAATAATAATATTAAACATGTGTGTATAATTACAAAGCTGATGGTGCGGAGAGAAACTCTTTGCCCACTCACGGCTCGGAGTTAGAGGCTTAGAACTGAGTTTCGTGAAAGTCAGAGCGGTCAATCAGGCAGTCGGAATTCTCAGTTACGACGGTTTGATATCAATTTGTCCAATTTGTGTGTGCATACATTTAACTACTTAACCCTGCTGGTCAGAGACAATCCCCGTAAACTAGCCAGGATGAGGTGAGAAAGGGTAAAGGAGCGTCAGGCAGCTGTCTATGGCTGCAGGATGGCCTACTGACCAGTGAACGTTAAGGGAGATTTAAAGGTTTTTAACTTTTAAATTACAAATGAGTTATCTATATAATGCGCTCTGTAGCTTCCTTTGAAAGGAAAAAAAAAAAAACAGGAGAAAAAGATCAAATTGCTTTATTTTACCTTGGGGAAATATGATGATTTTGGAAATCCGTACTTAAAAATTAACCAATGGATTATTTTTTTTTACTGTGTTGAATAACCTTGCCCTTAGTAAATGATTTGTGTTCCTGAAAAGTGTACATATTTGGAGGATGCAGTAATGACTATTTTCTGAAATTCTTTAAAGGGTCTTCCTGTACAATGATTATAGTTAAAGGAACACTATGTTACTTAATGTAGTTGTTCTGGTATCTATAGTATGTACCTGCAGGTTCATACTATAGATACCAGAACAAGACCTGTCTGCGGCTTTTGACACTGTTGATCATCAACAGCTTCTTCTCATCCTCCGCAATATCGGTCTACAAGATATTGCTCTCTCCTGGTGCTCCTCCTACCTCTCCCAGCGCTCTTCAGTGTTTCTTTCTCTGGCTCTGCTTCTTCTCCCCAACTCCTCTCTGTTGGTGTCCCCCAAGGTTCAGTTCTTGGTCCCCTACTGTTCTCCATCTATTCTGCCTCCCTTGGTAAACTCATTAGCTCCTTTGGCTTCCAATATCATTTCTATGCAGATGACACGCAAATCTACCGGTCCTCTCCTGATCTCTCCCCGTCCCTCTTGACTAGTGTCTTTGACTGCCTCTCTGCTGTTTCTAACTGGATGGCTGCCCACTTCCTTAAACTAAACTTGACTAAAACTGAAATTCTGGTCTTTCCTCCCTCAAGTGTTGTTACTCCTGTGTCTGTCTCCCTCCAAGTCAACAGTGCTACCATCAGCTCCACCACGCAGGCTCGCTGCCTAGGTGTTCTCTTTGACTCCGACCTCTCCTTCAAGCCTCATGTTCAATCTATCACCAAATCCTGTAATTTCCATCTCAAAAACATTGCGTGCATCTGCCCCTACTTAATGCCAGATGCAACTAAGGTGTTAGTCCATTCCACTGTCCTTTCTCGCCTTGACTACTGTAAGCCGCTTCTCAGTGGTCTTACATGTTCCCAACTAGCGCCGTTACAGTCCCTAATGAATGTGGCGGCGAGGCTCATCTTCCTGTCAGCCCGCACCTCCCATGCCTCACCCTTCTGTCAGTCCCTACATTGGCTTCCTATAAAATATAGAGCTCAATTTTAAATTCTGGTTCTTGCTTTCAAATCTCTACATAATGCTGCTCCCGCCTATCTATCCTCCCTTATACACAAGTATGTCCCGTCTAGGCCCTTACGATCTGCTGAAGACTTACGTCTAAGTGAAAGTGTAGGTACACTAAAAACTGAAACGGGGGTGTTAGTTAATGAAGACCAGGAAAAGGCAGGAATTTTAAATAACTTTTTCTCCTCCGTATATATTAAGGAAGAACCCATGGCAATAGATGTGCAAATGATTGCTACTAAAAACTTGCAGAATAATTGTAATTGGTTAACTCAAGACAAGGTGCTGCAGCAACTAAAGAAAGTTAATATAAACAAAGCTCCAGGGCCTGGCGGTATCCATCCACGTGTACTTAAGGAACTAAGTGCAGAAATAAGTGAACCTCTGTTTTTAATCTTTCAAGATTCTTTTCTTTCAGGAAGTGTTCCGGAGGATTGGAGGAAGGCAGATGTGGTTCCTATATTCAAAAAAGGGTTCAAAATCCTTGCCTGGAAATTATAGACCTGTGAGCTTAACTTCTGTGGCTGGTAAAATATTTGAAAGTTTATTAAGGGATAATATTCAAGAATTCCTTGAGAAGAACATGGTTATCAGCAAAATCAGCATGGTTTTATGAAGCACAGGTCATGTCAAACTAACTTGATTGTGTTCTACGAAGAAGTAAGTAGAAGTATAGATCAGGGTGTTGCCGTGGATGTGATCTTTTTGGATTTTGCCAAGGCATTTGATACAGTTCCACACAATAGATTAGTGTTCAAACTCAAGGAAATCGGTCTAGATGAAAATGCTTGTTCTTAGGTAGAACATTGGCTTAAAAACAGAGTACAAAGAGTTGTCATTAATGGTAAATTTTCAAGCTGGACAGAGGTGGCAAGTGGTGTCCCTCAGGGGTCTGTTCTGGGACCCCTTCTATTTAATATGTTTATAAATGATCTTGAAGACCGCATTGAAAGTCATGTTTCAGTGTTTGCAGATGACACAAAACTTTGTAAAACAATACAATGTGAGCAAGATATTACCTTGCTGCAGAGGGATTTAGATAGACTGGGAGACTGGGCACTCAAATGGCAGATGAAATTTTATGTTGAAAAATGCAAAGTTATGCACTTCGGCGTAAAGAATACACAAGCAACGTATACCCTTAATGGAAGCGGATTAGGGATAACAACACATGAAAAGGACTTGGGAATTGTTATAGACAACAAACTATACAACAATGTGCAATGTCAATCAGCAGTGGCCAAGGCCAGTAAAGTATTGTCATGCATGAAAAAGGGCATTCATTCTCGGGACAAGAATATAATTTTGCCTCTTTATAAATCACTGGTAAGACCCCATATTGAATATGCTGTGCAATTTTGGGCACCTGTTCTAAAGAAGGATATAATGGCACTAGAAAAAGTGCAGAGGCGGGCTACAAAATTAATAAAAGGAATGGAACATATCAGCTATGAAGAAAGGTTAACAAATTTAAACCTATTTAGTTTAGAAAAACGTCGCCTGAGAGAGGATATGATAACATTATACAAATATATTCGGGGCCAATACAAACCATTGTGTGGAAATCTATTCACAAACCGGACTTTACATAGGACACGAGGCCATGCGTTTAGACTGGAAGAAAGAAGATTTCGCCTAAGGCAAAGGAAAGGTTTTTTTACTGTAAGAACAATCAGGATGTGGAATTCTCTGCCTGAGGAAGTGGTTTTATCAGAGTCCATACAGATGTTCAAGCGGCTACTAGATGCATACTTGCAAGAACAGAATATTCAAGGATATAATCTTTCAATGTAGGGTAATAACTGCTTGATCCAAGGATAAATCTGACTGCCATTCTGGGGTCAAGAAGGAATTTTTTTCCTAGCTTGTTGCAAAATTGTGCTTCAAACTGGGTTTTGCCTTCTTTTGGATCAACAGCAAAAAACAAATGTGAGGAAGGCTGAACTTGATGGACGCAAGTCTCTTTTCAGCTATGTAACTATGTAACTACTATGTAACTATGTCTATCTTCTGTCCATACTCCCACCTCTGTTATAGTATATATATATATATATATATATATATATATAGTTATATATTTTCTTCTAGTCTTTTTATTACATCTTAATAAAAAACACCAAGAGGGATGACTTACGATGCATGTAAAGAAGGGGAAGCGACCACAAATTGGCAACTATGTACACAACCGCTAGACATGTTCACGAAGCCTTTGGGTGTTCACAGTTCTGCGGTCTAGTGGATACTGTTGTATTTCGAAGTTCGAAAATCGAAGCATTTTGTATGTATTCTGTGAATGTCTGCCAATGGTTATGTACGCAATGTATAAGATGTCCTGTTTTGGAAAAAATAAAGAATTTAAAAAAAAAAAAAACCACTTCTTCATAAAAGCGTATCAATTAAACTGTTATGGCTCCTGACTGATTCCTCTTCTGCAACTGTCACTAGTCTAATACTATCCTTACCTTTTTGTGTCATTTTACCCCACTCCCTCTAGCATGTAAGCTCATTGAGTAGGGCCCTCAACCCCTCTGTTCCTGTGTGTCCAACTTGTCTGGTTACAACTACATGTCTGTTTGTCCACCCATTGTAAAGCACTGCGGAATTTGACGGCACTCTATAAATATCATCATCATAATAATAAATACTGCCATTTCAGAGATGTGTGTCTAGTTGCTGAAATCCTGCATATTAAAGTATTATACTCTTAAATATCTTGCTTTGCATTATTTGTATTCTAAATATATATAGATTACACGTAATAAAATCTTTATAGAGAATGCTATATGTGTTGGTTCCCAATGTTAATGACCTTGCCTTCTACTGCAACTTTCTAAAAAGTTCTATTCTAGTTTATAGTTCTAATAGCGCTGATTAGGTGGCCTGCCCCCAAGTCACAAATAGTTTTTTTTTTTGTCATTCTGTATTTTATTGAAGCATTTATAAGAGTATTACAGAAAGTTAAGAGAGGAGTTACAAGGTAGAAGCATTTAACAATATTGAAGCAATAAATACTGAAACTTATACTTCTGTACAAATTAGCTTCTTTTTGTTTTTTGCAAATTAAACATTATTGGTTAACACATTTATGTTAAGGGCTAGTGACAGTAAAAGTGTGATCCCTTTGTTCCCAGTATTAAAAAAAATAAAAAATAAAAAAATAAAAAAATCAGGTGCTAAACTTTGTGGCCAGTGGATGGAATAAAAAAAAAAATATTTATATTAAAAAAGATAATAAGGCATAATAAAAGTAAAGACATGCTGGAATAAACCAGAGATGAGATCTAGAACACTAGGTTATTTTCAAAATAGTTATAAACCATTGGATCTAAATATGTAAACAGTGGCTGAGCCACAGATGACTGAGGGAAACGTCTATAACATTGCAAGTAAGTTGCTGTGTGTAGCCATGTGTGGCACAGCCCCACTTCACCCCCAGGGTCCCTCTGGCTGAGTCAATAGACTTAGTGAGTAGGTAAGTTACTATGTGCAAACATGTTTCTAACGTAGAGTGCCTTGGTACAAAACCGGTAATTATAAAATAAAAATGAAAACATGGGTTGGGCCCGACAAGCCTCTTATAATCGCCATCTCCCGCTCAAAGGACCTATGGTGGGTTTAGTCTTTAGTCGCTCCATCTCTGCACCAGACTCCCGCTTCCTGTTGAGTTTATGTCCCTGCCTGCCACAATGGGCCGTGTAAGTGGTAGCTGCTGGGTTGCCAAAAATTCCGCAGGGTCTTCTGCCGCCAACAGAGTGAGTACCAAGTCTCTGTGGGGTACCACCAGGGTCCCTGAGGCACCCCGTCTATATCGGATGCCGTCAGCTGCTTAGTGACCGGCTGGAAGCTGTTTCTCTCCAGTAAGAGCGAGAATGGTAGGTCATCGAATACTGGGATCTGGTAACTCTACAGGAACTGTGGGATGATTTCTGGAGTGGGCCAGAATAGCCATCTTCACCGAGATGTCTCGAGTGACAGCAATGATCCGCAGGGGCAGTTGGAGCTTTCTGGATCCTGAACGCCGATGTAATAGGCAAGGCTCCACTGTCTCCCTTCAGCTCTAGCACTTATGCCACTTTATTTGAGAAATTCAGTAGGGCCTCCGGGCCCACGGACTCAGGTGCCCCGCGGATCCTCACATTTCTCCTGCGGTGCCGTAACTCCAAAGTGACCACTGAGCTGGTAAGTTATTGCACTTGTTAGGAGAGACACTCTGCTTGGGAGTGGGTTTCAGCAAACTGGCCATCCCTTTCCTCCTCTCGGGTCTCGACCTCCCTGATGCGCATGGAGAGGCCACCCATCTCAGCTTGCACTCCGGCCAAGTCAGTCTTCCAGACCTCCCTTATATCAAGCAGTAGTTTCTTTAGTCACCTTTAGTGGAGGGTGAGGCATCAGTATCAGAATCTACCCATAGGTACACCTCACCCCGGGCCTGCGGCACCATGGGTCTCTCCTCATCCAGCGACTCCTCCAACTCACTTGAGCCTCTTGGCCTCCCACACGCCATCTTAGGCTGGGCCTGTTGTTGCGGCCTGACTAAGGACCTGCGTAAGTCAGGTAGCTGGGTGCCCTCTAAGTGTAGCATTTTTTCGATGTTAGCGCCCCATCTCTCTGTTGGGGGGTTTCAGAGACATAGTGTGGAACTTTGCATGAGAAATTTTTGCCTATTTCGTGGCAATTTAGTATTTTTAAAGTGTTGTGAAGTCGAAGCTCTTCACCAACACATCTAGGAAGTTGCACAGCCAGCCATGCCCCCCGAAGAGAAAAAATTGTTAAACTCTCCTTATTCCAGTTTCGCATCGTTCTCACTGCGGCTGGCCACACACCCGCTCTGCCTCCTTGGCTGAGATCATCAAATTTGACAATCTCAGCCAATCTAATGCTTTCTCATAGGAAAGCATTGGAAGGCTGTCACACATGCGTGTCAAAACGCTACACTACATCAAGCAGCATCTCCTCATAGAGATGCATTGAATCAATGCTTTTCTATAGGCACTGAACCAGGAAGCACCTCTAGTGGCCATCTGAAAAACTGCCACTAGAGGTGTAACTAGCCAGCAATGTAACACTGCCTTTTCTCTGAAAAGACAGTGTTCATTTGGAAAAAGCCTGCAGGGACATACTATACACAGCAGAACAATTACATTAATCTGTAGCTGTTCTGGTGACTATAGTGTATCTTTAATGGATGACATATTGTCATTAGTACAGTCCTGTTAATGAACAGGCCACCAGAAAACTAACTTCCCCTCTTGGATGCATGATTCTAAAGAAAACAAGTGAAACTTTTCTAGTCTGTCTTCACAACCAAGATCTTCCATTTTCTTTAATTTTGTAGTAGCATGCATGAGGAAGGAAGGGGCAAATGTATCTATAATGCATTAACAAGAGCGCGATAAAGCCACCTAGGAACATTCCTTTCAATGAATCTTTATGCTCAGAACAAAGGATATTGATTTTTGTTTTTCTTCTTCTAATGATGTACTATAGCACTATATCGGTACCTATTGCATTTATAAAATCAAATTACAGATGCATAGTTGGTGGAAATGGCTTTATTACACCATTAAACAGATTTTCTTTTACGGACAACTGTGTCATGATAATTGCTTGTGCTGTTACAGTATTCGGTTTTAAGTTCTCTCTCTAGACCAAACCATTCCATGTTGAGTTAGTCTTGCTTTTACTTTAATGTAATTTCCCTTTTGTAAAGTGCTGATTGTTTTGTCCTAGAGGAGTACGTCAATTGCAGAGATTTAATAGTAGATGCAGCTTCACATCAACTAATAGACACCCACATGATTTTCCAATTTACTATATTGCAAAGCAGACAACATTCTCAACATATATTTGCCATACTGTCTTTTATAAAACATGCGCAAGTGTCAGTGACATAAAATAAACGTTTTGCATTCTTTTCAATCATACTTTTGTTTTTCTCTGCATATAAAGAGCTGGTTCCTGAGCTCAGCGTTTATCTTTCAGGATTATTACAAAGACATTCTGATTGACCTAATTTAGCAATATCGGTTATAGTGTCATTGAGTGTACTTTCTCTGGCAGATGATTTACAGATTAACTTTAATTAATAACCAATGCAAATTTATATTTTAGTACAATGTGCAGTCCTTTCAGTTCTGCAAGGCAACACATTCCTTTGCAGATCTAACATTCAGCACTAAAAAGACAATTTGAGCACAGTTAATACACCAGTTGTTGGATCGGCTAAAATCAGATATTAATGTGCTGGGGCCAATTTTGTAGCTCTTTAAATAGCCGTTTTAAATGCCTATGTGAAGATTGCGGTATCAGCAGGTTTAAATACCTGCTCACACTGCTAATCCGAGCTATCAATAGGACTTCTGCAAGTCAGTAGGTGGCCATTTTTAATGGCCCAAGGCCTACCGATGAGTTCTGTGCAAACCTGTTCAAACCTCAAAGCTATATGCTCCATTTTAAAAAAAACTTTCTAAGGTACATACAATAAGTAATGGTTAGCTGTTATCGTAACCTTTGTTAACAATTTCCCTTCCAACCAGATGTAATTCACAGACTAGATTGTGTCTTGCATTAACTAAAATATTACCTAATTAAATTAGATATCTCTTATATTGTGCAACTTGACACTTATACTTCAAAGGTCATAAAATAATGGATGATCAACATGCGTATACCATTAAAAATGATAAAGAAATTACAGAGTTCTGAAAAAGAATCAAACAAAAGGTTATGCACCAACAGCAATGTTATGTATCCAGTACATCTCTAGTCTAGAAGTTTACATAATATGATTCATATGTCTCAATCATTGAGTAGTTCCATTCTTGGCTTCTATAACCACACATTTTAGCATTCAAAAAAAAATCTCATCATTTTCAAATAGTGATCTATAATAGTGTCTCTTATTACATCAAACAACCAGCAAAATGTATCAGTAGGACATAAAACAACCAGTGCAATGTATCAGTACAAAACAGTTGGTAGAGTGGTATCGGGGTTGTGGGTATAGCTTGAAAGGCACCCACCCTTAAGAAGTAAAATAAAACTAGCTGTACAAGATTGTGCATTTCTACTCTGAACAGTGATTGAACATTTTCGTGCAGCACCAAACTGACACATGGTGCATTTTAACTTTTTAATAAATCGCCAATGTCTATAGTCCCCCACATGATCAATCTCCCAATTTCCCGGCACTTTGTAATAAAGCAAAATAAAAATTCCTATCACAAAGTGTTTTAGCTTTAATTAAATAAACTACTTTTGATATTGCACAAGTGATTAAAGAGCCAGAAAAAAAAAAAAAAAAAATTATATATATATATATATATTATATATAAAAATGATGATGCAGCACTAAACATTAGGTTTTAATTGCTGTATTTATTCCATAATAATAAATAAATATTAAAGATATAGTTGTCTGGGGAAATTCTGAAGGACAAATATTTACTGAAATTACAGAACAATACCCATTTATCAAACTCATTAAAGCAGTAATGTTTAACTCGGTCCTCATGTTTGACAGATGAAGCCAATTTTCAATTTCCCCAACATTAATACATAGAAGAATTAATTATGCATTGCCCTACAAACCAAGTTATAAATTGTTTAACTCAATCTTCTGGTCCATTAATTAAAATAAGCTCTGCTGGATAGGTCAGAATTTGGTTTTGCATTATTACTCTTATTGTCAATAAAATGAATTCTACCTTATTATAGAAGTCACATTTTTTGTTTTTAACAATCAATTGAATTCCTTTGTCATTTGTTGGTTAATTGCGGAGATCAGCCAACAGTCAAGTTACGTCTAGTACAAAGGCTTAAAGTATTCTATAAAACTAGCCACGGCAAACCAGGGTGGTCCATTTCACACTAACCAGGGGGAGATTTCTACTTGCCAGGGCTGTATTTTCACTCACCATTGGCTACTGGAAAATGGAATTTCGATTCCTGTATTATGTGATGAGGGAAAAGGAAGGTGTAAGCACTGGAAGACAATTAATCCTCTGGCTGTGGTTTAAACAACCTTCAGAAATATATTCAGTAGGTAAAGTAACCCTTAATTTAACTTAGCAAAAGCTAAGTAAAGGGGAATTAGAAGAAGAAAAAAAACAAAAACAAAAAAACCCCAGATAACTCGAATTTGATAAATGTTAAATACTTAAAAAGCTAAAAACAAGAACATCCTGTATTCTTCAAAGTGTTTTCAATGTCTTTGGAATGGAAACTGGTGATGAAATCAATAATAAGCAGCAGATTATTATTTGTCTAACTGAAACACATAAGTAGAACATTTTACTAAGAGTAAGTTTGTTCCCCAGGATAAATACAAAAATATAAATATTTTTTTTTTTCTACCGGACTGAGCATTAGCAGCCGTTCTCAATGTAAAACAATAAAGGTTCATGGGCAATTATACTTGCTATAAGTGGTTTTATATAGAGTTACCTCCCAAGAAGAGGCATGTATAACAATTTTATATCCATCCAGAAGTGGTAGTATATTCCAAATTTTAATTTTTCTTTAGTATCAATATTAGGTAGAACAAACATCAAAATGTTATACCTACCAATGTGTGTCACCAAACATGGGCTTGACACAAATGAAAAGCTCTTGTGCGGTGCATGACACTTTTTCCCTACAAGCCAACATGCTATGTACACTGTAAGGAACATTCCAAGTACCATAACCACTACAACACACAGTAGTTATGGTGCCTGGAGTGTTCAATTAACCAATGTGTCATCCCTGTAATCGCCTAGAACTCGGTCAAGCCATCTGGTTACTTAAGAGTGGTCAAAGATGGCCAAGTACGATTCTGAGATTTAAATCATTGGGCTGAGTAGATTTACATAAAAGTCCATTTGATTACCAAAAAAAACAACACAGATAATGCATTTTTCATTACTTTCTCGTACTTGTAATGAAGCAATACAAAGATTTCAGAGAGGTAGGGAACTTTTATCAGTTTAAAAACATAACAGATGGAAATATGTGGAGGTATAAAAATAAGCTCAAAAATCAAAGAAGATGGTTTGTTGATGTTCCGTGAGAGTCAAATGTATTTAAGTTCCATTCATCTGCGGGTGTTATTTCTTTTTAGGCTGTGCGGCCAGGTACAGGGCTATAAGACAGTAGATGGTCCCTCCAAGTGTCAATGCCATAGTAGTGCGATATAGGAGCCGATCAGGGACGCCTCGTTTCAAATGTACAGGAATGCCATCCGATTTCTTCAAATGGTAGAGGAAAAAAAAAAAAAAAAGAGAGAGAGGGAAAATTATTTTAAAAATACCTGTGTGATCCATTAATTGTTAGGAATAAAATATAAAAAAGAAAATGACTTCTACAGCAATTGTGAAGAGAGCTGACTGATCAAAGGTTATTTCCAGATGGACTATTTTGGCCTCAATTTTAGTTTGACCCTAAAATTATCAATTTGCCAGGTTATAATAAATACAGAACCAATGTTGATTTACTTTGGTTATATAAAGACATAACCAAAGTAAAACATTAAAAGATTTACAGGTGGTTAAGATAGCAAAGTATAACGGCTCTGAATGATACTCAAAAATAGCCAATTCTGTCAGAATGTTAACAGCACATCATTAATACATTAAAACAAGCAACCCCCCACCTTGCTCCCCCCCCCAAAAAAAAAACTACAATTAAAAAAAAAAAGCTGTTAATTATGCTTTTAGATACTGCAGAAAGTGGTGAAACACAATAATAAACAAGTCTATAGGAATGATTAACACAAATATGAAGCTATTACCATATATATTATCATGTTCCATTAAGCGCACCACCAATTTTGCCTGGCACTATACAGTTAAAGGGACACTGTAGGCACCCAGACCACTTCAGCTCATTGAAGTGATCTGGGTGCAATGTCCCATCACCCTTAACCCTGAGCATGTAGATATTGCAGTTTTTATAAACTGCAATAATTACCTGCTGGGGTTAACTCCTCCTCCAGTGTCTGTCTACCAAAGAGTCACTTGAGGGACTTACGGTCTCGAAGGTGACCTTTGGTCGCCTAAATGACGCTGGACGTCCTCACGCAATGAAATGGAATGCTTTCCTATGGGGAAATCCTAATGCGAGTGCAGCCTTTGGCTCGCATGCGCAGTAGGTCTCCCCCACGTGCGGATGGTGGCAGGGGAGGAGCATGGGTGGAGCCAGCCAGTGCCAAGGGATATAGGTGCTGGACCCAGGTAAGTGACAAGTAGGGTTATTAACCCCTTCTGCACCACATGGAGGGAAGGTGGAGAGAGCAGGGGTGCCTTGACAGAGGGGGACGCTAAAGTTGTTTCCTTGGCACTATAGTTTCCCTTTAAAATCAACCTCACACAATTGTATCCCACACATTGAACTGCCGTTAGAAGATCGCCAAGTGTCCAATTTGGTGCAGTCTTATTAACTTGCACTGCCTGCTACACACTTGCAAAGACTGTAGACTTTATACAGCATTCGGTTGCTCGAGGTCAGACTGTTTTAAATTTATGCTGCTGCTCTAAGCAGGCTCCAGCGTGCAGCTTTGGCATCGTATAATGGACTAATGGCAACGGTGCAGTTTGTTGTTATATTTTTCCAGAGTCCCCTCCCCCCTCAATACATTTTTAAACTGGTATATACACTGACACAGAAGTTGAGTGATATGGTTAATAAAATATATAATAAAAATACATAAATTCAAAATAATAATGATATTAAACTCTTAACAAGGTTTTGGATTTCTATGCGGTCCTACTTAAAGTGGGCTTTAAAGCCTGTTGGACGGCTTGGAATGCCGTGTGCAGGGTTAAATCCCTGCTGACATCAGGGAACCCCAGGATTCAGAGGATACACGGGGCTCCCCTTAATGTGCTGGGAGGTGGGGATATAGCTCCAAATGGTTTCTGGAAGCTAGCAACACCACCGGTTGCAAAGAGACCTTTCTTTAGGCAAGTAAATATTGTGGTTTTGATGTGGAAAGGCAATATATATAGTCTAAAAATACACTTTATGGCAGGGTTATATTTTTCTGTCACTAAGCTACCACTGGCAAGTGTTATCTTGACAGACAGTGGGGGTCTAGGTCTCTATTTGCAACATTTTCTTTATTTCAATATTAGTCCCCCCAAACTCATAACAAAGTGCGTTGTGATTATGCGTCTAGTCCAGTGTCCATTACAAATCTAAATGGATTTACTGCAGCTTGAAAAATAATCTGCTGACATAAGAACACTACATCATAGATAAGATTAACCATATTACTGCAAACAATGCACTACAATTACATTTAAAATATATAGTAAGCAATCACCTTGTGACGAAGTGCGCTTCGCCACTTGTGGCTGGAGGGGACTACTGGCTAGCCTCCTGCCTTCCAACTATGGCCCCTGTGATGACAGCTGTATTTTACCCTGCAGAAATGTTTATTTGTGTATTTCTGCCGAGGCATTCGGGACTTTCAATATGTGAGTAGTGCTACCCCAGATAGCTATTCCATGGAGCCTATTCGTGTAACAAAAGACTATGGAAAAGACTTTGGCTTCATGGAGATTGAACTGTATGTAGGTGATTCGGTAATAATGTGCGCTCAGATCTAAGCTATCTGGGGATATGTTGCATGTATATGTTTTATGTAGTAATTGTAACATTGTATAATTTTAATGTCTTTTTTTATAAATTCTTTATTTTGAGCGTGCATGGAATAACAGAACATCGTACGATGCCACAACAGCATAGTAAGTGTATCGATAGCACAGAAGGTCACATATGTGGCTCAGAGGTGACGGCACATTTTAAAATATTATTATGAAAGACAAAACTGTTTCGTTACGGTAGCGTAACTTTAACGTGGAGTACAATCTTAATTTAAGCATGCTAAATTAGCTGGCATTTGAGATAGGTAAAATCATGAGATTAAATTCAGACAATTAATTCCACGTGTACTCTGGCTTTAACTTTACGTACAAGCTTAAGTATGCTAAATTATCTGGCTTTGAGTTATACAAAATCATGAGAGTATATTCTATCAATAAATTCAACAAGTGCTCTGGCTTTAACTTTAAGTACGAGCTTAAGCATGCTAAATTAGCTTACACAAAATCATAAGAGTACATTCAAACAATAAATTCAATGTGCGCTCTGGCTTTAACTTTTGGTACAAGCTTAAGCATGTTAAATTGGCAGGCAATGGGTTAAACAAAAATCATGAGAGTACCTTCAAACCCTAAGTTCAACGTGTGCTCTGAGTATGTGTGGTCTGCCATGTGTGTGTTAGTGTCCCCTTAGGTTCCCCTGAGTGGTGTGTACCCATGTCCGGTAGTCGGTTCAATGGGTGTGTGTGTGTGTGAATGAGCCTGGCTATTGTTATGCTGGCACTATAGAGTGCATGTAGAGCTATGCAGTGAGGCAAAAGATATTAATATTAACAAGATGTGCAGCATACTATGCTAGGCTGGAGCTCGAACTAGATTAGCGGTTCCTAGATTATAGTGGTGATAAAGGTAAAATATGGTATAACCTTGGGAGGTATCAATGTCAGGAGAGAGGTTGCTAAACAATTATATTACACCCCCTGGGGAGCCAGCCGCGTGTTCGTGTAGGCAGCAATTGGGCTCAGTGTCCACGGCCATGGCAGCAGCCGATACCATAGTGCCGACTCGGTAAAACCCCGGCTCCGCTCCTCTCGGCGAACAGCTGATTTCTATCGACGGCTGTGTTGGCGTTGGGTGAGTGGTAAGTCCGCAGCCCTGTTCATGTGGTGGCTGTGGCGTATGGGTCTGCAGGCGGCTTCCTGGGCACAAACTCCGGGGCATCCACGGTGTGCCTTCCCAGCTGGTGTGTGTGGCCTGCGAGGTGCGTTGCCTGATTCTGCGGGTCAGTAGGGATGTTCAGTAGCCTCATTATCTCTGCGGCCTCTAGGAGGTTGTGGACAGCGTGTTTGGTTTCTCTTTTGCTGATGGTGAGGGTGCGGTTCGGGCCCCAGCAGTATTGTATTTGATGGAGACGCAGGAGGGCTGTAAACGTGCTCAGGGATCTCCGCCACGCCAGTGTTCCAGCTGACAGGTCGGTATAAAAGGATAGGGTCATCCAAAGGGGTAGGAAGACTGTCCCTTTGTAGCCTCTAGGACCATCTTCTTTTCTCTGGCTGATTGGAATTTGAGTATTAAGTCCCCTGTGACAGTTTGAGGGGCTTTTGGCCGTGGTATCTGAAAAAGGTCCTCCAGCGTGATCGCTTTTGCCGTCTTTGGTGTCAGTAGATCCGTGAAGAGTCGCCTGATAAGATGCGGTAGTTCAGCCTCCGGTATGGAGTCTGTGACACCTCTTAGCTTGAGATTATTTCGGCGGGAACCTGTCTTCTTGGGCGGCCATTAGGGTTTCTTGCTGCAGGGTTTTTTGTTGCAGATCTTTGATCGCTGCCTGCAGATCCGTGATCTGGTTGGTGAGGCAGTCAGAGGAGGCCCCCACCTTTCTCAGCCTGTCTAATTCCTTTGATATCATCCCTGATTAGGGCCATGTCGGCTGAGATCTTATGGTGAGCCGCCATTAGATCTCCGATTGGCCTTTGTGTGTGGTGGTCCCCTTGGCTGTAAGGGGGTCAGCATGGAGAATTTTATGTCTTTTTGTAACCATATGGTTAATGGACTCTTGCCTCTGTCCTGGGAGATAATTTGATTACTTCCCAATTATCTCCAGGATAGAGAGGAGGGATTGTGATGTCACTGTAGGAGTGTTTTGTTTGTATTGTCTGTGATTGGCCAATATCCAATAAGTGTCCCATCCCATTGTTCCATCAGGTCCCCTAGAGAGTGTCCACCTGGTGGACACTTGCATAAATACCGGTCAGGTAGCCCTCAATAAACCAGACCTACTGGCACCTTTCTTGAAGCCTTGGCTCATGCTTGGGGGAATGGATACCTACACTCTGGGGATTGCTATAAATATAATCACTTACTCCCCAGAGTAAGCTTTTGTAAGAGCTTGATTTGTTCCTGCTATGCTCTCTGGATTTAGGAGAGGTTCACCCACTGGGAGCTGGATCCTGGTTGTGGATCCAGGGTGGGTGAGAGAGCTGCATCGCTGGAAGTGGGGTCCGCAGTGCTGAAGGTGTCGGTTGGAGTGCTCGGAGTCCTCGGCAAGCACTAGGAGCATCGATTGGCGGAGGTACTCAGTCGGAGTGCCAGCGGTCCGTCACAAACCTTTATACCAGTATTGAGAAATGTCAAGACTCAATCCTTATAAAACATTCATATATCGTGCAACAATTGGTTATTATAAAACAAAAAACAATTTGTTTTACATTCAGGTACCGTCTAGAAAATTGAACTAAAATATTTTAAATGTTTTACACGTAAATCATGAACCAGTTCTGATACCTGGAAAAGTTTTTGCAGTTCTGGGACTCTGTTCTTTCCCAGATATCCTGCTGCTGATGAAGAATCCGCTGATAATTTTGTTGGGCTGGAAAAGATAGTTACAGGTGCTTCAGAGTAAACGGAAGGTCTCAGTCCCTATAAAATAACAAAGAAGAAATTTAAAAAAAAAAAAAAAACACCATGTAAATCTCGTCGCTGGCTGCCCATTGTTAAAAAAAATTTTTTTAAAAAATTAAAAATAAAATCAAAGTCAAATTAAGACAAACAAAATAGCCTAAAACCAAAAATAAACTTTGAGTAGTACTTAAAGGAAAACTCCAGTGCCTGGAAAACAATTCATTTTCCAGGCACTGCAGGTACCCTCTCTCTCCCACCTCCCATCCCAGGTAGCTGAAGGTCCCTCGGCGGTGTTTTCGGGTCGGTGTTGCTCCTCCCAGTAATCACGTCAGCCGGTGGGCGAGACTGATCCCGCCCGCCGAGGAAACCTAATGCACGTGTGCGGCAGCGCATTAGGTCTCCCCATAGGAAAGCATTGAAAAAGATTTTCAATGCTTTCCTATGGGGAATTGAGCAACGCTGGAGGTCCTCACACAGCGTGAGGACGTCCAGCGACGCTCTAGCAAAGAAAATCTTTGCTATGAATCAGGAAGTGCCCTCTAGAGTTAACCCTGTAATGTAATTATTGCAGTTTATAAAAACTGCAATAATTATAGTTGCACGGTTAAGAGTAGTGGGTGTTATCAACCAGACCACTCCAATGTGCAGAAGTGGTCTGGGTGCCTGGAGTGTTCCTTTAATTATGTGTTTTTATACATTCATAAAATTTTTAAAAAATTACTAACAGTAATCCACAAAGTAAAATTGGAAACATTTTAAATGAAAGGACACAGTTAATAATTAGTAGAAAAGATGGAAAACAAAGCAAGAATAAAAGAGCCAAGTCCGACCAGAAACAAGAGTAGGTAAATTCCAGTCTAGCACCTAATAACATCGTCCTGCGCACATCAATATTAATAGATTTTTATACAAAATATGATGTGTAATACAAGGAATTTAGACCAAAGGGAACACTCACTTGTAAAGAAAATATCCACTTGACTTCCAAATAACTCAAAAGATTAGTGATGTCTCCTCCCCTACCTTTGAGTATATCTTAATGGGACACTACAGTCACCAGAACAACTACAGCTTTATGGTTCTGGTATCTATAGACTATCCTTGCAGGCTTTTTTCGTGCAAATGCTTCCTTTTTACTGTTGGCTAGTAACACCAAAAGTCACCTAGCAATAAGAAGTACCTCTAGTGGCTGTCTGACAGTCAATAGAAGCAGTCTTAGAACTGCAAAGTAATTATTTAATTAACATTGCATTATTATGGGGACAGGGACATTGCACTCAGACCACTTTAATGAGCTGAAGTTGTCAGGGTGCCCATAGTGCCCCTTTAAATAATGTAGAGTAAATCCTTACTCATAAAAATTGACCTACAGTAATGGCTTAATTACATGCAAAGAATTACACTAAGAATAGAATTCTCACAACAGGGTTTTCTACATATCCTCAAAATTATATTGGACCCTTAATATTCAAGCTCTAAATTTTAAGGGATTTTTCTTGAACAATAACAATGTATGACTAACACAACTCCTTTTAATTAATCTTATCATCCAGCTATACACTAGATCAGGGGTAGTCAACCTTTTAATACATACCGCCCACTTTTGTATCTTTGCTGATGCTAAAATTTCCTTACCGTCCACCAGTGCCGCAGTAACTAATTTTAGAGCGTTATAATTTTATAAGTGTGCGTGTGTGTATGTGAAGGTGTAGTATGTGCATTTATGAGGGGTCAGTCTGTGTGTGTGGTGCATCGGGTCATAGCCTCCCAGGCCCTTCCCTCCCTCTGCTGGAATTAAGTGCCAGCAGGCTGGTGAGGGATATCTTTGATCTCCTAACCAGCCTGAGAGGGCTTACAGCAAGACTGGCTCTGCATGGGCCGGCAGGGGAAATTAAAGATCTCCCCTGCCAGCCTTGGTCCACGGCCATCGACACCCACTGGGCGTTTTCTGCAAAACCACCACAGCCCACCTGAATTCCCAAGCCGCCCACTAGTGGGCAGTAGGGACCAGGTTGACTACCCCTGCACTAGATATAGCATCAAGACATATCCTCTTCTAATATTTGTGCAAAGGAAGGTTTCTTGCAATGCAGAAACAGCCTAGAGCTAGAGTCTCCACATACTCACAGAGCAATAAGAGTTATACAATCACATCAAATCTGGTTGCTCGAGTGTAGCATGTGACCCGTCTACATGCCTCTAGCCCAGAGACAGACAACCTTCGGCAGTCCTGATGTTTTGGACTACCTCTCCAATCATGCTTTGCCTGCAATAAGGGATATGTAGTCCACAATATCCGGAGTGCCAAAGGTTACCCATCTCTGCTTTAGCCAGTCACTTGTTCTATTTTGCACAGATTGGCACATATGCCCCACTGCTCCTTTTGATGAAGTGGAAGCTCTACTGAGAATGTAGGGAGATCCCTTGAGCACAACACAGGTCCTTCACAGTAGGAAAAGGAGAAATAAAGAAGAATATTGCTAGATTGCAGGGCAACATGCAGGATCTTCTGTTCCTATTGTATCAGTACGGCATTGCAACTATTGTTAAAAATGATAGTAATAATGCTATTATTGCAGCTGAGAGTACCATCTAATGGGGACAAATTCAGAGATATTAAACAGAAAAGAGAGAGGTTTCTTTAAGTATAACTCATGCCTTCACAAAACGTTTTTAAGGCGGCTTTCCAGTGTATGAATGGGGATTCTGTGAGCGGCTCTGATCAGCAAAAATAATGAGAATACCTCTTCTCTCAGATTTTCGTAAAGTAAATTTTTCATGAAACTAGCCAGCCCTGAGGCCAAGGTTAACCATCACAAATAGAAACTTTCAACGTCTGTTCATACCACATCCCAAAAGAGATGGCCTATTTCTGTCCAAGTGTTTCTGGTTCCTGTGCTTATAATCTGTGAAAGTGCTATACAACACTTATCACATGAAAGTGCCTATTGACATGAAACAGACTACCAATGACAATACAACCTTGACATTGGTCACAAGATAAAACCAGTGTACACTCTGTCAAACAGGTTACTAAATAGTCCCAAATCTCTGGATTGAGATAAAGTTGCTCAAATAAAACTGTAGGGGAGATTTTTTTATGACAAGGTGTACACGTTGACACTTGAATATTCATAGTTTGCATATTATATAATGTTTTAATGCATGTCAATTGACACATTACATTGTTACTCGTTCAATTATTATTCTTTTATTGTTCCTAAATTGTGAAAATGCAAGTAAGAAAATTTATATTCAAAGGCTATGTGGGTGTAAAGGTCTTTTGTCAAATTCCTCTAAAGGATTGTGTCTTTATCCAGAGGTAATATTTAGCTTTATTTCTTTTTTTTTTACTTATATTATTTTATTTGCACTAGAGAGACATTGTCAATATTAAATCCCTTAAAACGAACACTAAAGTCTAGTCCGTCAAGCTGAAGTGCTTTAGGTACTAACTTCATGCCCTTACAGGCTTATTTCATAAAAGTGCACATTTCAAGAAAAATTGTCCCTTTTTTGAACTCCCTTAGTAACACATGCCAGTTAGTAAGCAGAAAGAAGGGGAGCGTTTCCTGCCTCACTTGCTTTAAACTGTAGTTCAAAATGGAAGTGAGGGCTTCCCATAGAAGAGCAATGGTTTCAAAAGGCAAAATATCAAGGGAGCGCGCAGGCCATCCCTGGTTATAGGCAGCTGGAAGAGTGCTCAGGGCACCCAGAGCAGCACAGTAAGTGCGTGCTGTGCAGTTTCAAACCAGACCTTGTGGGCTGAGCACAGCATGAGATTGAGAGATGGAGGTTGCAAGACACGATGAACCGGCCTGCCTCAAATCAGCAGACCTCATGGGTAACAAGGGAACTGCTGGGCATAATCCATGCTCTAACACCGAACAGCTTCCTCGCCGCCCTCTACTAATGCCAGGAGTCGAGGTAACATCAATACAGCTACAGTGCCAGTATACAGTTGTAGTGCATTCTGTAATCTAATGTTTTTAAACTAAAATATACGTTGCTGTATCCTGCTTGAGTGCTGGAACTGCTTTTTAAGGTTGTATTTGTATGTATATCGGCTGTGTTATATTGTGTAGGTGAATAAGCAGTCTGCGGTGTTGTGTGAGCTTTGTATGTTTGTAGTGTGTGTGCTGTGTATGCGGGGTGTTTGAGGGATTGTGTATATGTCGTATTGTGTGTATGGGTTGCTTGGGGTATTGTGTGTGGGAGGCTGGTTGTGCTGTTGTGTTATGTGCTGTTGTGTATATGTGCTGTCAGTAGTGTTGTCTTTGTGGAGGCTTCTCCTGCAGCTTTATGTGCATGTCTTTCTGTGTGGGTGGCTTCCTGGAGGTCCAGCTACAGGTCATGGGCTGGGACAATAGTGGCTGAATAAATTGAAGATTGCTCCTCACTACCTGGTGCAATCACAACTAGTGTCGAACAGGCACTAACAGATATCTGAAGAAATCTCACTGGGAATACTCATACGCCAGCTCCATGGGAGATCCTCGGATCTCCTCATCCTGTTTGGGTATGTCATGCCATAGGTTGCTCAGCCCAGATATATACTGTATATCTGTATATGTTGTTCAGGTGAGAGGACCGTCTGAGACCTCTGCCTCCTGGCTTATGCTCTGCCCTGCGTTATTAGGTAGGTTTAGCAGACGGCTGGTGATAGGCTGAGAACGTGGGTACACATTGAGAGATTTGCACTATTCATACACATGTTTTCTCTCAAAGGGTACCCAGGGATACCTGAAAGCATCAACTGCAGTGCAGGGAGGAAGGAAGCTGGGAGGCAGGGGTGGCAGAGACCCAACTTTGTGGTTAAAATGTCGGCCAACACTGTAAATGCACAATTATAAGACATCACTTTTCTTTAGATAGAACTGCAAAGAGTTATAATTTATTTAACTCTGTAAATGCACATTTGAGGCCTAAGATTCAATATTATTTTGTTTTTTTAAAAGGGACACTATAGTCACCAGAACAACTACAGCTTAATTCAGAGAAAAGGCAGTGTTTACATTGCCCCCTTGGGACACCTCCAGTGGCTACTCCTCAGATGGCCACTGGAGGTACTTTCTGGGGTAGTGTTCTGCCGTTCAGAGTCTCCACACTCATGAATTTTCCTCACATAGATGCATTGATTCAATGCATCTCTATAAGGAGGCGCTGATTGGCCAAGTCAGCATTTGGCCCCGCCCCCATCCCACCTAATTGCCGATTTCCGCCAAACCAATGCGTTCCCTACGGGTAAGGGTAAATTCTGATGATGTCACCAAGAAGGTGGATCAGTGGCGGGGCCAACACCAGCGATCCCGCGCGGTGTGTAAATAAGGTAAGTTTTAACCGCTTCTGAGGGATCTAAGGGGGGCAAGTCATCCAAATGGAGGTTTTAACACTATAGGGCCAGGAGCACATGTGTTACTGACCCTATAGTGTTATTTTAACCTGAGGAATCTGTCAGAGTTATTTGCTAATGTCAACTGTGGCAAATTAAAATCTGAATGGCAAGATTAAAGGGGAACAAAGCCAACCTGTGACTATGGACTTTTTTTCATATCAGCAATTTTTGCCAATACTTTACCATGCACTTTCCAACTGCAAATTGAAGTTCAGTGAATACACCTTTGTGTGTGTGTGTGTGTGTATACCTTTAAACTGGTGTTATCACAAAATGATGTAATAAAATGAGCAACATCTTAAAGGAATACTGCAAGTGCACAAAGCAGTTTGCTGAAGTGCTTTATGTGTGAGGATTATGTAACTTTTTTACATCATAAGCTCTAAAAGGACACATGGACATTAAATGGGGAGTGTAGCCATCTTCTGTGACTAAGAAAGGCAGTGGCCTTATAGCTGCAGGTATGTTTTTTTGCAAATTGTCACCAGTATATAGGAGTATGTATTTATCTCTAGAAAGTAAGCTTGTTTGAGCAGTTCCTGTGCATCCAGCTCGTCTTGGTACAAATACTTATCGGTTAGTCCACAGATTGTACAGTGCTACGGAATTTGTTGGCGCTTTATAAATAGTAATAAATACCGATATAGAATGTACATAGGTTAATTATAGCAATGCATCTCTATGAGGTGCATTTTGCATCTTCATGCGGAGCATGAAAATACTGAACAACAGTCCTGTAATTCATATAAGTCTGAGTGACAGTCACTAGAGGTCTCATTAGAGAACAATGTAAACACTGCATTTTACAGAACAGGTATTGTTTACAGATGAAAGGGTAGTTATTCTGTTGCTTAGAATGTCCATTTAATGGATTGGCAAACACCAAAAGCAACAAACAGGGCACACACGAGTTAACCCCTTAAGGACCAAACTTCTGGAATAAAAAGGAATCATGACATGTCATGTGTCCTTAAGGGGTTAAAGGACGACTATAGTCACCCAGACCACTTCAGCTCAATTAAGTGGTCTGGGTGCCAGGTCCCCCAGGTTTTAACCCTTTAAACGTAGACATAGCAGTTTTCAGAGAAACTGCTATGTTTACATTGCAGCGTTAATCAAGCCTCTACTGGCTGTCTTCCTGACAGCCGCTAGAGGTGCTTTCCCGACGCTAAATTCGAAAATTGCACTGAGCATGCAGAACGTCCATAGGAAAGCATTGGGCGATTTGAAAGCTTGTGCGGCTCTGGCCGCACATGCGAATTCAGTTACACTTGGGAGCTGACGTCGGAAGGGGGAGGAGAAGTCACCAGCGCCGAGGGAGCCTGGTGCTGGATTAAGGTAAGTGGTTGAAGGCGCTGGATTAAGGTAAGTGGACTAACCCCTTCAGCCCCGCGGGAGGGGTTCCCTGTGGGTGGGACCTAAGGACTACATAGTGACAGGAAAATGAGTTTGTTTTCCTGACACTATAGTGATCCTTTAAATACACACATCACATTAGCAGATTACAACACACAGTGTCTACTCTAATAACAAAGACGCCATTAAAAAAAATACCAATGTTAATTTGCTTAACTATTTCATTATATCCATTTTAACTAATGATTTCTGCAAAAGCCAAGGGAGCTCACAGTAAGTGTTACAAAACTATCACCGTCATTCACTAGCGTGAGAATTTAAAGTGGAATTCTATTTTAAGGCTAATGGTGCCCAAACTAGAAGCATAGCGGACTTAGAGAATGTTTCCAGTTTGGCTATTTGTACCTTGAGTTTAAAATTCACTTTGAATTCTCATTTTAGTAAATAGCCCTCTATATATGCCCATACAGCTCTGCTTATAAGTCAGTTATGGAGATTTGCCTCCAGACTGCTTTGAAGGTCAGTGACAGATCGCCTGTGTTTGCCCCTTTGTTGGGATCTATGGTGCTATGATCAGGGTACAAGCAATCCCCCTCACCTGTGGGTGGTAGGCCTCAGTGGGCAATGCCCCAACCAGTTTCTGTGTGAAGCTGCTAAACTTATAGTACATGGTGACGACCTCAGGCAGGCTTCAGGAAGAGCACACAGACTGTGTGAGGCTGTGAAAGAAGGAAGGGGGAGGGAACCAGAGTGTGACTACTCAAAGTCCTGAATGGACAATAAAACATATCTCTAAAGTTTGTAAATTCCTTAATCCTTTCACCCTCAATTTAAAAAAAAAATCTTTCCCTTTATTTGTCCCCTTCATATATTCATATATAAAAAACACCATCATTCATATGTGTCTTTATTAACCCCTTGATATATGAATATATAAATGAGTAAAAAGGGTTTAAAAGTACACATATCACCATATCATATATATATATTTTAACCTTTTTAGTCCAGCGATGTCATGTGAAGTAGTCGTGCATTTACCCTTACAGTTCTTTTGAAGTGATACAATGAAGCAGTTAATACAGACATAGCTCAGTGAAGGGGTATATATAGTAACACTTTATGTCTAGAGAGATCAGGGGAAGTCCTCACGTGGTTACCTTTTCAGTCCTGTGAGGATAGTAGGTGGTCATTTATGTGGGATTGAATGGGTTAATGAGACATCTCAATGTATCCTTGTTGGTAAAATACTTAAATAAGTTAAAAAATAAAAAATAAAAAAAAAGCTATAAAGAAAACATAAATAAAATGAAGGGAAATGTTTCATTTGCAACAGAAAAAAAAAGCAAAGTAAAAGAGAACATACTTCTAATAATGCTTAGATAAAGAAAATGCTTTCTGATGATTGTAAGGCAAAGGATTTGACATGCAGGAGATAAGCAGGGGTGATTTATTGTCCTTTCAGGACTTTCAGCAGCCACACTCAGCCTCCCTCCCCCTCCCTCCTCACACAGCCTGGGTGACCCTGGATACAAAGTGTCGCACTATGATTCCATCAGAGGCTGTCCATTGCATTGCCTGCTGCAGCTGCACTTTCCAAGCTTTTTCAGTTGGTTTATATCACAGTGTGACAACAGATATGTGTTTGTTGTCAGTGTGTAGGAAGCTTGTCATTTAATGTGTGGTTGTTTGAAAAAATTGTACAGGCGCTATTGACAGTCAGGCTAGGTCACCCTGGAGATAAACCAGCTGGTTACCTTCAGAACCAAGAATACAATTTAGACCAGGGGTGCCCAAAAGGTAGATACCCATATATTTTCAAACTATAGCTTCCATGATGCTTTGTCATTCTAAAAGATTGAACAGCATCATGGGAGTTGTAGTTTGAAAACATCTGGGCACATATGGCACACATTATAGTACGCCTGCGCAAATAGGATGTTGCTATGTGCATGCTCGGCAGTTATCCGTTATGAGCATGCGCGAGCAGGATGTTACTATGCGCATGCGCGGCACTCATTACAGAACGCATGCGCAGACTATCGTTGCACGCGGCAGTGGCTATGATGCCTGTGGAGCATATTTATACAGGTGTTTGTTCTGCCAATAAGTAAGATGGCGGTTATGGACACCGGATAAAGTGGGAGTACACTTATTGTCTATAGAGGTTGGTTATTAGAATATTAACATCTGTTATTATTATTTTAGGTCCCATGACTCTTTTTATTCCATATATATGTTTTCAGTGCACACAATCAGTTTTGATTTGATATTACAAGGTTACTATTAAAATATTGTGCCAGGACTTGAGGTGATGATGTCACTTCCTGAGCTGGTAACAATTTTATGCTGATGGCCATCAGCTGTAAAGGGGCTTTATAAGCAGACACATTTGAACATGGATACAGGTACCCTTGATAAAGGCAGCCAGTTGGTGCTGAAATGTTGGGTTAGGGAGTTTGGTGACTCGTGTTTCTGTCTTGAGGCTTGTAAGAATTTTTATGGTAATTTATCTTATTATCTTATCTTTATTATTTTATTGTATTTGCCAATCATGCAAGCTGGACAACTACTATGCAGGCAGCACCCTGAGCTTGGCATAAATGCGTCTAATGATGCGCTCGCTCAACACTTTGTAAGGACTGTCCCCTAGCACTCGCTGGTCCACTTGTCTCCTTACCTTCTTACTAGCAGGCAGAAGCTCCTGGTATATAGTCTGGGACAGAGAAAAGCTGTATGTAGTGAGTGTAGAAGAAAGGGAACATGCCAAAGTGTTAGAGACCAAAGTCAGCATTTTCTTAACTAAATTTCAATGTCAGCCAGGGCACACAAGTTTTGTTCTCATACATCCCTCTTAAGTTTCCATACTTAAAGGGACACTATAGTCACCAGTGCAACTACATGTATTCCTGACCCTATAGTGTTAACACGACCATCTAGCCCCCCTGGGCTCCTCATGCCTCCATAAATATAGTAAAAATCTTAATGTATTCAAGCCAGAAGCTGTAACTCTGCATGTTGTTAGACTCAGGAAAAACAAGCAGTCTGCTGACATGTGGTAGCCTGATCCAATCACAGGGCTTCTCCATAGGATTGGCTGAGACTGACAAGGAGGCAGATCAGGGGCAGAGCCAGCATTATTCAAGCACAGCCCTGGCCAATCAGCATCTCCTCATAGAATCAATGAATCTCTGAGGAAAGTTCAGTGTCTGCATGCAGTGGGAGGAGATACTGAATCACAGGATGCTCGTGCACAGCAGATCTATGCCTCCATCAACTCAGAAGTCCCTCTGGTTCACTGTGAGTGACTGCAACTGGAGGTGTTCCTAGCTTTCAATGTAAACACTGTATTTTCTCAGAAAATAAAGTGTTTACATGAGAGGCTGCAGGGAGCTATAGTTCTCACCTGAACAACCTCATTAAGCTGAAGTTGTTCAGGTGACTATAGTGTCCCTTTAAGCAAGAGTATGTAAAAAGTAGTTAGGGTTGCCACTTTTCTTGGAAAAACATACCAGCCTTATTAATTTGCATAATTAATTATGGATGGGTGACGTCACATGATGTAAAGCACAAGGAGTGTCATAAGAGAAAATGCTGTAAAATCACTAAAAAACTACTTATAGTTTGATTCTGCTGTATAAATGGATTGCTTCCAGTCTCTCCCTGTCTTCCAGTGTCTCAAGTCTCCAAATGTCTGTGTCCCGATGTATCAGTGTCCCCATGTCGCCCAGTGCCCCCCATGTCTCCCAGTGCCCTCATGACTCAGTGTCCCCATGTGTCGATTACCCCAGGTCTCAGTGTCCTTATGTATCACAGTGTTCCTATGTATCACAGTGTCTCAATGCCCCATGTCTCCCAGTGTCCTCTCATGTCTCCATGTCGCCCAATGTCCCCATGTCTCCCTGTGTCCCCCAGTATTACCATGTCTCCCACTGTTCCCTAGTTTGTGTCCCCATGTCTCCCAGGGTCCCCATTTCACTAGGACACTAGGGACAAAGATACATGGGGACACTGTGAGGCATAGGGGCACTGAGACAGGGGACATTGGGAGACCTAGGGACACTGAGAGAAATTTGGACATTGAGTCACTTGGGGACACTGAGACACTAGGGGACACTGGCTGAGAAACATGGGGACACAGACACCAGGTACACTGAAACACTAGGGACACTGGCTGGGGGACATAGGGACATTGAAACACTCTGGGCACTAAGAGACATGGGGACACTGGGAGACATGGCCACACAGACTCTAGGGACACTGAGACACTAGGGGACACTGAGACACTAGGGACACTGGAAGACATGAGGAAACTGAGGCACTATGGACACTGGCTGGGATACATGGGTACAATGGGAGACTAGGGGACACTTGACATCGAGATATGGGGACAATAGGAGACATGGGGACACTGTGTCCTTAGTGTCTCAGTGTCCTCATGTCTCCCAGTGTCTCTGTGTCCCCATGTGTCTGTGTCATGTCTCTCAATGTCCCCATATCTCCCAGTGCCCCATGTCTCCTTGCAGCCTTTGCCCCCATCTCTTTCTTCCCTGAGCTGTAGGCTGTCTCTGCAAGCTGGGAGTTGCTGTCTGGACTCTCTGTAGCTGCTCCCCTGAGGATCAGTGAATAGAGATAGGCAGAGAGGGATATGCTGGAACTTCCTATCCCTGCCTCTCTCCACACACAGCGACCCCTACTGGCCAGTGCTGGTATTGCATCGTAATCTCTGTTTATACTGAGAAAAATACCAGCATTTGTATTGTCAGCATGACTACAATATCGGCACCGGCCAGGAAGTCTCAAATTACTGGCTGTGCCAGTGAAATACCAGCCAGGTGGAAACCCTAAGAGTAGTGTGTAAAATAATAAAGTACATTTGTATTTTATTTCATTTTTTAAATCAATAGGCCTATTTCATGGGCATGGGCCTGGAGCTGCAGCTCCATCAGCCCCTATGTTAATCCGGCCCTGAGCACAGATCATGTTATCCAACATATGTTGTAACAATAGTGACCACTATGGAAAGAGCTACCGTAATTAAAAAAATCATTAAATAAAAACTATTTACGATTATTTGCTTAATCTGAGATAAAAGATTCCATCCTTACGAATGGTTCGAAAGGATACTACTTGTTATTTCAAATTAGCTTCAAGATACACATAAAAAATGTTATACATAAAGTGTTATCGTAATGCTAGGGTGCAATTTTTGTTTTTAGAAAAAAATAATTCTTTAAAGTATGGTAATGACATTTTTAAAGGACCACTAGAGGCAACCAGACCACTTAATCTTAATGAAGTGGTCTGGGTGCAGTGGTACTTTATGTCTAACCCTACAAACTAAAACATTGCCATGTAGTAGATACAGCAATTTTGTGATTGAAGAATTAAACATACCTCTAGTGTCTGTCTTACAGACAGACTCATTCTCAATTATTCAGTCAATTGCTGCTCATATAGTGCATTTGATTGGTACAGCATGGTGATTTGCTGAGCATGCACACCAACCTGCCAATGCTTCCCTCTTCTTTTATTAGCTTATTGTGGGTTGGGGGGAGGGAGGGGGCATGATCTTGACATTACAGTATATTATGCAGTATACAGAGTATATTAAAAATATATTTCTCTTAAAGACAGACACAACCTTAACTACTTTAACAGACCATGTAATACCTATATTGTGTATAAAGTACTGCATTTTACCTAATAAAAGTGCTTAGTGATAAAATAGCAATTTAATCAATCCAGATAAACTGGTCCTTAGTGAGATTAA